ATTTGGCACCAAAACTGCGAAACAAAACAGCAATATTTTTCTTCAAATCAATTGTAAAAGTCTGTCTTTTATCTGTAACAAGAAATACGATGTCAAAGCACAAGTGAAAGGTCGTTACGTTCTTGCTTTTATCTGCGGACGGAGCCACAGTTTTGACTATTCAACTCAAGAGGGAAAGTCAATTTGTCCTTCGTAACTTTTAATTCTAGTGTATGACCATTCAAATGAAAGCTATGACAGCTATCGAGCACTATCTTTACGCAGGGCTGTTTAGTATGCCCTGCAAGTTGGATCCAGTGTGTAGATAAATCCTAGTATGTAAACTGACCATTCAAACGAAAGCTATTGGGCAGTGCTTTCGTGTGGCACTTTTTATTATGCTATGTAGGTTGGCTGTAACTTTTAATTCTGTGAATGAAACCCTAGTGTGTAACGATTCAAATGAAAGCTATCGAGCAGTACTGTCTAGTTCATAAAGCGGTTTTAACTTTTAAATCTGTGAATTCATTCATGGCAAATATCAAAATCATATTGTCGAATCTGATTCTTAGGTCTTTCTGGAAAGGGAGAGGGTAAAAGGTAAAAATGCTACCACTTACTATTTGTTTATTGATGTTGTTATGGCAGCAGCATTGCCGTCTTTGTCAAGGACAGACAAGTGGATTGTACCATCTGTAACATCAATATGATAATTTATTGGACCATAGTAGTCACATGGGTGAGTTTTGTCATCTATTAACTTGCGCAGCTCCTCGCCTTTGTGAGGATCTAACATGTCCTTGACAACCTGCCTCGAAAGAAAAATAGGTCTGCAATATGTAAGTGTGTTTACAGCAACTAAATAAAAAGGTCCGCAGTGTGTAAAAAGCGAACGAAAACTACCGGTTCGAGTGTTCTTGGAAACCACGCTTGCTCCGCAAGTAACGGCTTAATTGAATTTGCAAGTTTCTCGAGCACGCTGATAATCAATACTTGGACATTTTGTAACAACATTGCAAAGTTGCGTGGAAAAGAACATTCGAATAGGTGGTGGGGAAAGCGTCAAGGCAATCTCACAAAAATTGGGAGATGACCTGCATTGGAGTGGCATTCTATCCTGGGAGGGGTGGGGGAATAGCAACAATGTAAGTCGCTTCGTGCCACGAAAACCGAGGGACTGAGGAATGGGCCGGTAGGGGACCTTGTCTTGTGAAACGTTATCTTGTAACTTAAAAGGTGTTTCCTACCTCATCAGTCTTATCACTGAACCTGGGATCCGCGAGGTACGTCTCTTTAGCAGCTACAAAGTTGAACGCTTCAATCATGCGGTGATACGTTAGAATAGGTCGCTCCCTCATGTCATCTGCACTGAAATTAAACCCTGTACGCGCAAACACATAGGACAAAAGGCAATAAATTTCTCGCTGCGTATCACAAAGAATTGTTTAAGTATCACTTTTGTTTAAGCTGTAACTTTTTTATCAATCCTCAGATTGACTAACATCCAATCCTACAGGTGTAGAATACTCCTAGTTTTTTCCCATTTCTACACAAACTGTAGTTAGTGTTCCCCATGTAACTGTATCATAGCTTCGTAACGCCCGTTAATTACGCTCACCATTTAGAATGTTTAAGATGTTTATCAAGGCTGCACCTCCTGCAGGGGGTGGGGTGGTCAGAATTTTGTATCCTTTTACCCCAGGGAGGGAGGCTTCCAGTGGTATCACTTCAACGGCTTTGTAATCTTTCAAGTCTTGCAGGGTAATCTTCGAATGAATCGATTTGAAGTCTTTGATAACCTGAACACAAGAGAAAATTATACGTCACGCTAATGTCATGCGCCACGACATGATAAAGGACAAGACCGTTTATATGTCACGCTAGACTAAGGATGGTTTGGTCACTGAGACAGTGTTCCATAGGGCGGCAAAGTATACATTGAGGCATTTCAACCAATTGCAGCGAGGCTTGTAATCTATGCACATAACTAACAAGAACTGTACCTGCTTTGCCATTTTTCCGCCATAAAACTCATCTGCACCAGCCTCAGCAATCTTTTGAAGAGTTTTTCCATATTTTGTCCGTTTGATT